CCATTCCAGTTATGCAGGGTTTGAAGCCCATCTCACCTACCTGTTTCTGATGTGATTGTATAAAAATTACAGCATTTGCCTAGCATTGTTTCTGCCAAGGACTCTTGCATGATTGGATTTAGCATACGACTTGATTCCCAGGAGGCTTTTCTCTCAAACAGGCTCCATTCCAGAAGCTAGGAAGCATTCTTGACCCTTCCCAGGGAAATCTTTGTATTTTTTGCTGTAATGATTTACCAGGAGAAATGGAGTATATCTGTGCACCTCAGCATTACAATGTGCAGCTCAGTGATACCTGGATTCCCATCTGCTCTTCCAGGGCTGCTTCTGTCTTCTTATCCAACAAATATGTACATGGTCCTTTAAATGGATAAAATACAGAGGCAGTGCTGGAAGCAGAGACCAGCCTGCAGAAACACCTTTCCCAACAAACAGATTTCTTAGTTATTGGATAAGAGGTGTGCCATTAAATCCCTGGCTTCCCAGCTGTCTCCTGAACTGCCTGTGGAGTTGTCCTTGTAGGATTAGGCAGCAACTGATTGAGACTTTTTCAGCACTTTGGATTCAGCTGCATCATTTCCATCAAAGTCCCTTTTACACAGCAGAGAGCAAAAGCCAAAAAGTTGGGTTTGTGTTACATCATATTAAAATATATTGACTTCATAGGAGAGAAGCCTCCCTGAAACTCCAACAAATGCTTTTGGTCATGCACAAAGAAGTCCTTTGGACAAAACCATAAGGCACTTTAGTGGCCTGCGGTTCTGTGGAATCAGCTGGGTACTTCACAGATCACCCAGAACTGCCTCAGTCCTTTCTGCTGCTGTCTCCTGTGTTGGAGCCAAGCTCTCTTACTCCTCACTGCATTCCAGCAGCATAGAGAGTGAGAGGTCAGTTCCTTAACACTGATAAATATTCTCCCATGGTGCAAGACACCCTAAGAGATGATCTCATCTTTTTTCATCACCTGGGGATGATGATGAGAAAGGAAAAGCAAGAAAAAAAGTCTTTGAGTAATTCAAAGTCCATTTTCACTGCACTTTATCTTGCATCCTCTCATTTGTGCCAAGCAGGACAGAGCTGAGGTGAGTTTATTTTCCATCTGCCTGATTTTGGCAATATCTTCTTGGAGTCTACTACTTAAAGCTGGAGAGGTCCTGAAGAAAAAGTAATGCAAAAGCAGTGGCTGTCTGCCCTTGCCCTATCTATAGCTTTGGTATCTGGGTTACTCTGTTTTGTCTGGTACATATCTGTGATATCCTATCTATTTGTATCCAGCTCTGTTTCCTGTCCACACTCACCAGCACCATTATATCTCCTGGTCTGTGCAGTGGTCTGAAAGCACAGATGTACACACAGGCCAGAAGTTGTCAACATCTGTTTTTTAACTGGGACAACTAGCGTAAAGACTTAGCGTGGATGAGCTTCCTTGACCAGCAAGAGCTGGAGATGGGGAGAAGCACATTCCATCATGCTGCAGCTTTGAATAGAAGGAGCTGCAGGTCTTTCTCTTGGTCAGTTTCAGCTCCAAAACCAGAGTGGAGAGAGTCCTTCTCCTCTCCAGCCCTGAGAAAGGGGATTTTCATGGTCCCAAGTGCCGTGCCAGCGAGCTGGCTGGCAGTCCCAGGAAAGAAGCTCTGCACCAGGCTGGCTTGGTCCCCAGAACAAAGCTGTCATCTTCTCATTCCTCAGGGACTTAGTGGCTTCAGCACGAGCAGTGCTCAGTCCTCTAAATCTGTGCAGTGTGTGGCCCTGACACTTCACAGCATAGACCTTGTCCATAGCTGGACACAGTGTTCCACTTGGTGCTTTCGCTGAAGGTGACAGCACCACAAAACACCTTCTTTAGGGAAATCCTCAACACCCTCTGGTGGTGTCCCAAGCCCCATTTCTGCCCGTTTTTAACAGTGCAGTCCTCATTTTACTAAGCTGAAGCATGTGCCTAACAAAAGTGCATACACCTCATCAGATCCACCTAAAGCAAGAAGAACTTTACTTTTTTTTTTTCAAACATGAGGTCTCAGTATCCTAAAAGTACCTTTCAAATGCAACTGCAGGATCTGCATAATTGAAACTTTTGCCCTAATCTTGTAACCTTCCTCAGGCAGTTCCTGACAAATGAAGATTATAAATGAGGGTTTGTAGTAAACATAACTGAAAAAAAGGCATCTTTAGTGTTTTTGCAATGTTTTCAAAGCAGTTTGGGTGCTGAGCACAGAGAACTCATTTCCATTTCAACTGAAATGCCATTATGTTTATTAAATTGTGAGTGGCATTAATCCTAGAACATAACCAAATCTTTTTGTGATTTTACATTTGTCATAACTGAAAGATCTCATTAAATATTTCTTTATACCTCTAAATAACACTGCCTGTCATGTAATATTTCTCTTAGATTTTCTTCGGTGAGTTTGTATCAGAGCTGAAAGTGAGCTATCACAGAAAATAAAATGGTACTAAAATAACAGTCCTTTGTATTAAATTTAACATTTGGCTTCTGTCCCAGAGTTTTACACATCCATATTAGAATCAGATGGTAGCCTAAGATGAAAAGATTTCCTGGATGGGTTTTATTCTGATTCTCATTAAAGGGCTGATAACAGACTGAAGGCAAGATACTCGTTGTAGTAAAAAAGCCTGCCTAATATCAAAGGCTGGATGCACACGCTGACCTGTGTAATTGTTAGGCCTCCCTACTTGATCACATTTCAGTATCATAAAATGATTCTGCAAATGAACGTGAAGTATAAAAATTCCAGTGTGAGAGCAAAAAGCCCAGGCTGGCAGGTATTGCTGTTGTGGGCACACTGGTTTACGCTTTGTAGCTGACCCAAAGCCAAGTCAAGGGTTTAATATCAAAAAGCAGTGTTGGTGACAGCACAGTATAGCTTTTTTTTTTTAATTCTCAATTATTTACATTCATGAAAGGCACTCCCTTGTCCTGACTTACCTGTGGAACTGGTATCGCGTGTGATGTGACAGCATAGGGCATCCCCACCGATATTGCTCAGCCTTCTTCAGAAGCTGTGTATCCTCTGCCCTACCCCCAAACCAGCACTTGCTCCAGGTTCCTTTGGCAGTCTAGAGACAGAAAGATCAAAGGGACCTAAATACTCTTCAGAAAGCAATTTTCCCTTTACCCAAAGCAGCTTTGTGTAGTACTTATGTATTATTGGGCTTAAGTTGTACAAATATTTTCAGGCTCTGGGTGTTCTATGCAAAAACAATTACTTTTGATAAAATGTAGGAGTGGTGCTCTGTAATGTTGCTGTTCTGCTGTATTGGAGACTCCAAGCATGATATTGGAGCTACAAATTAGATTTTGCAAAGCAGCACTTCTGTAAGGAGTCTGCTGCTTCAGACCAACAGGCTACAATCAGCATTTTCATGGGGATATTTTGCCTGTGTTTTATCACAACATCTTCAGCAACAGAAGGAGAGCAGCAATTGCAGGCTGCATTGACCATTTCAGCTTGTGATCACATGGGGTTTTGAAGATTAAATATGCTTTATAGGTATTTTATGCTGTTTTTCTAGGTGCACCTTTTTAGAGCAACTGGTACGTGGTTTGAATTTACAGGCAGAGAATCATTTCATCAGCACTGGGTGTTTACAGCACCAATGTCAACATCTGAGCTTACATCCAGTGCTCCTTTTACAATCTGTGGAGAGAAATGTGCATGTTTACAGGAGTAATTTATCTGATTATTTTAGACATCTTCTTTCCAGTGAGAGAGATTGTATTCTAGAAGAGCCAATTTCTCTCCTTAGCAATAATTAATCCTAGCATACTTAGTTCAGGAGGTGTTAGCTGTAGTTAGGTGACATGGATCCCATACAGCATGTTTCTGAATAGAGCTGTATTGTCACTTGGCTACTAACTGTCCGTATGAATGCTTTTTTTTCCCTTTTATAAATTATCAGATTATCATAGGGAACACATCAAGAGATCTGTTGTGTATGTAAGAAATGATTGGCTTGGTCCCTACAAGATTTTTACCACTGACAGTTACAACTACCTTAATGCTTCCTGTGAAAGCTGTTTTGGTAGTTGTATTGATCCTGTCCTCCTCAGGTACCAGTTCAATGCTAAACATCTTTTCGGATGAAGAGTGCATTCTGTTGGGTACTTGGACAATTCTGAGGGACTAACATTGGGCAAAAATCTCTAAGAGAAAATGGGACCTCCTTGCACTCTCTTGAAAACAGCTTCAAGGAGGTCCGGTGAATGGGGCTGTAGCACATACACGCCTGTTTTCAGGAGTGTTACCACAAGTGGCGTGAGGGATAAGCAAGCATAACGTGTACTGGTGAACACTGGTGATGTCCTGTTTATTTGGGTTCACCTGGTGGATTCATTCAAATAGAAGAAAAGCCCCAAAGCTGGTCTCCTCAAGATGAGTTTGCCATATATTGCAAGGTACAAAGGGTAAGTAGCATCTTAGGAGACAGAAGAATTTCCTGTGAACAGCCCTCAGCAAAAAAAAAAAAGTAGAGTAACACCTACTAACTAAAGAATCAAAGTTATTTCTGAAGTGTATAAACAGTGTCACAGAATAGGAGTAATAAGGTCTTATTGGTCCCATATTTGTCATTTGTCACTGTATCATACTGATATAGCAAGCAGATTGATTTTCAGAGGGTGATGGCTGCTGGAAACATGTTCCTTGAAAACCTTTCTTGTTCACTGCCCCAAAATCTATAATTGCTTTTGGAAGTCTTTGCTTTGGTGTACAGTTCTAATATCTGGATTACTGACATCCGAAACCCCAAGTCTCCCTTGTATGTCCACTAAGCATTAGGTTTTCTCTGATTAATCTTCTGGTTGATTATGTAGTTAATTTTTCTACATGAATGTGTATTCTGTTTAATTAATTAATTCGTTCACCTCAGCTTTGCTTATGCCTATTCCTTCCTTTGTCAAGGTCTCACATTAATATTTGCAACATTACCTAGTGACACGTATATGCATTTTCTTTTTCATATTTTTTTTCTTTTTACAGATTTAACTGTAATTGCACCATGCATTTTGAAGACTTCACCAACAGATCAGCAGCTGAACAAACTTGCGAGGAGGCTGGGACCCGAATGGGAGCATGTGGTTCTGTGCTTGGGTTTGTCCCATACTGACATCTATCGATGTAAAGTCAATCACCCTCACAACCTGCAGTCACAGATCGTAGCTGCATTTGTCCTGTGGAGACAGCGTTTGGGGAAAAAAGCGACGATCCAAAGTCTGCAAGCCAGTCTGATAGCAGAAGAAGTGGATCCTTCTGTGATACAGTACATGCTTGAGGGAAGCCATGCTATTGATTGAGAGCTTCCACGTACTTCGTTAAATTAAATATAGAGAGTGGAAATGTATGTTGAAGATTGGATGCCTCAAACTGGAAAAAAAATGGGGTTGGAAACTGTGATTTTATTAAGCTTAAACATTCCAGTTTTCTGTGGCATCTTGTGACTTGTAATTCTTTTCATGCCAGATTAATTTTTAGCAGGCATTAAAAAATGGATCACTGTTTCCTGTTCACTTTTGTGCTAATGCAGTGGGGATATAGGGTGACAAAGTTCTTGCAAGCAGGCAGCCCTGCAATGAGTTCAGCAAGGTTTCTGATTTCACTGAGGGAGCAACACTTGGTTTAACCTCTTTTCTGGGCTACATAGGAGCCTTTTTTACTGCTGTTTCACAGTATTTCTCTGATATCCCAGCAAGAAATGAAAGTAATCACTTATTTAACAATTTTACAACAGTTATTGCAGGTGGCTAATTTCACATTTATAAAATTTTCAGCACATACAGTTTCTTGCTAGGATAGATGGCTGCTACCTTAGTCTGCCTTTGAAAATGGCCCTAAGTGGAAGTAACAGAAACCTAGCGTGCCTGTGAGAGTTTCTCCCGTTATTATTTAATTGGTGTAGGTTTCTGCGAAGAAACAGGCACTGGGCGCAGATGCCGTGTCACAGGTGAGAAGTTCTCAGGGAAGACGCACAGTAGAAAAGTGACCAGAAGATAGACAAAGCCAGGCAAACAGAGCAAGAAGCGGCCTAAGAAAGGAGACAACTTCTAAGTTGTCCATGTTTGTCTCCACTAATAAACTGGGAGACAATCTGGTGCCTGTTGAGTTTTTGGGCTGTGCTCTGGATCCAGGCAATCTTGTGACACAGTTAAACCAAGCATCCATAGGCACATTACTCTGCCCACTGCATGCCCAATAGGGTAGTGAAGCTTGCAGGTCCTTTCTGGTCAAGATGAACTTTCCACTGCTCTTCCTCCAGCTTATGCCATCCACCAGGCTCTTTTTGCTTTCTGCTGACTTTTCTGCGCCTAGTGGGGGAAGCTCTGATACTGCTATCCCCAGTTCTTTGCCAGCTGTAATTGTACCAGCAGTGAGGATAAAATTTTATGCAGGAGAACAGTAAAGCTTGGGCTCTTCTCCTCCTTCCATTCTGTCTAGGAGATTTTACTCCTGCTGGAAAAAAACACTGAGGTTTTTGCTGACCAGGTAAGTGGGGATCAATCCACAGGGTATGTATCCAAAGGCAGTGGAAGTGACCAGCTGCTCTCTGAGGCCTAATGACAAGAGGCAGAATACGTTTTAATTCTCCCTGAGCAGTTTGCTGTACAGTAAATGCAAAACAAAGTTTCAATGCAGGTTTTCCAGGTCTATTTATGAACAAGCTACAAGAGAGTGTTTCGTCTACAGAGTCATTGCCAAAGAACTTCTCATCCTACAAAATTTGCTCTGTTTTATTTAGCAGCTTAACAGCCTTGTCTGAAGTCTTTATTGGGGCAAGAATGAACTTTACTGCTTTTTAAATTTTTTTATTTGTTATTACTCTACCCAGATTTTCAAAAACATGGGAAATTAGGAAAGACAAAGAGATTTTAAAGAAATCCTATATCCCTTGGTTTTCAGAAGCATGGAAACAAAGAACATATCCTGGCAGGATCTGCTCCTGCAGGTTCTGAAGTAATTTGGTAATATTTTGGTTTTAATCTTCAGTATACAGTTCTGACCTTCAGTAAATTGTGATCCTGTCAGACCTCACTCAGATCTTAGTTAATCATATTCGTATCTTAACTATTCATATTCTACTTCCAGAGTTTAACTCTATCAACAAATTCCAGATAAACAATGTCAATCAATTTGGGGTTTGGGATTTATTTTTCTGTCTCATGATGCTTTAATGCCAGCATGTTCTTTTTAGGTTGAAAACCATCCCAGAGCAGGTGTACAGACATTTGGCAAATTCATATGAGCACAGCCCAGCATAGGGAGTGGGATGAGGACTCCAAAGCAATTCTGGCAGTGACATTGACAGGAGCATGGTTTGCATGTTAGGGAAGAGAGGCAAAGCAGTCTCCCTGGCAGCAGTTTGGAGGGAAAAAAGATGGAGACGGGGGATAAGAGAAACTACTGAAAAGGTGATTTAGAGGAAGAAGTTGGCTCCCAGTGTCATAAATGCAAGTACCTTATCTTGTTCTGAGCCAGCATGGACCAAGTCTCAATGCAGACTGTCTCCAAGGGAGTTCATCCCCAGTTAACCCAGCATGAGCACAGTGCTCCAAGAAGACGACCAGTCTGGTGATAAAGCAGTGTAATGGGCACAGTCAGGGACTCTGGTGTCTTCTTTGGGTGAACTTTGCATCTCATATTCTTCATTTTATGGAATCATAGAATGATTTGGGTTGGAAGGGATCTTAAAGATCATCTAGTTCCAACTGGGGATGCCATGGGCAGGGACACCTTTCACTAGACCAGGTTGCTCAGAGCCCCATCCAACCTGGCCTTGAACGCTTCCGGGGATGGGACATCCACAACATCTCTCATCCACAACATCCACATCATCTCTGGGCAGCCTGTTCCAGGGCCTCACCACCCTCACAGTAAAGAATTTCCTCCTAATATCTAATCTAAAACTACTCTCTTTCAGTTTGAAGCCACTGCCCCTTGTCCTATCATTACATGCCCTTGTAGGAAGTCTCTCTCCAGCTCTCTTGTAGACCCCCTTTAAGTACTGGAAGGTGCTAAAAGGTCTCCCCATAGCCTTCTCTTCTCCAGGCTGAAGAGACACAACTGTCTCAGCCTTTCTTCATAGGAGAGGTGCTCCACCCCTCTAATCATCTCCATGGCCCTTCTCTGGTCTTGCTCCAATACTTCTATGCCCTTCCTGTGTGAGGACCCCAGAGCTGGATGCAGCACTCCAGATGGGGTCTTATGAGAATGGAGAAGAGGTAGAGAATCACCTCCCTCGACCTGCTGGCCACGCTGCTTTTGGTGTAGCTCAGGATACAGTTGACCAATGTCAGATTGTCCATAACAATATATTTAGAGTCTTCTTAATGGTTGAGAAAACAGCCTTCAGTAGGTATGAAGTTTCATGCCAAATAAGCCTTCCTTCCAAGACAGGTATCCTTCTGAGTATCTGCTATTGGGCCACTGGAAACCTGATGGGTGAGTATCACGTCAGGTAATTTCTCCACCTTCTTTAGGTGGGATAAATGCTACAACCCTTGCACCTGGTACTGAAGTTATGGAAGCCACAGCTAGACAAGGAATATAAAACCTGGCCTCTTGTATTGTAGAACAAAGCACATCATTCATAATTTATAGTTGCTTTCACATTCCCAGGCCCTAAATACTTCAGTTGCAAATATTGAAGGGAGAGGTTTACTTATTTTGCAAGATTGTTTCCACTGCTGTTATTTTTAAATTCATGGAAATGTTCCTATTAGACTCTTCGTTTCTATTAAAGCTTGTTTTTGCACTGCACAAATGCAGGAATACATTTAACTGACAGTAGTATTCCTTTAACCCAGTGGATTTTTCCATCCACTTAAAAATATTTTTCTTCTGTATGTAATGCTTTATTTTACACAAGGATGCAATTAAGACAATTCTTTAGATGTATAGCAAGGCCTCTTATTCTCTCATAGAACAGTCAAAAGATCTTAAAATGTTTATTCTTTTCTGCTAATTTGGGAGCAAATGTTATTTATTTAAATCTCACATGTAAAGAAGCCTGTGACTTGAGTGTTGTTCAGGAGTGAGGCAACTCAGTGACTGAGTTTCCCCATCTCTCCCTTTGCCTCGAACTTCTTTGTGCCAGCAGTCTGGGCAATGACATGGGGCTTCCACAAGGTCTGCTGTCCTCCCTGCCTGCTGTGCTCCCAGGACTGGTGCCCGGGACAGGCTGACGGCAAGGGGCATCCCCCAGAGAGTACTCATCCCAATTCCACTGCTCATCCCTTGCAGTGACATGCGTGGCTGCTTCAGGCTTTGGGGTGGAACATGGACTTGGGAAGGGTGAGCCACCAACAGCTTCTCTATGATGTATTTAGGCTTCTTAACCAATGTTGAAAAATCCTCTCTCATGAAAGTGGTATTATTGGTATCTACTTATTTGTGGCAGTGTTTAGGGGCTCTGAGAGAAGAAAGCATAAAAGTGGCCACTGTTGGACCTTCCACTGCAACTCATGGCTTAACTTCTAGTCTTTGGAAGAAGTCGTCATTGATTTTCTTCCTTGGTCTCTAAAGGAGACTCTGACATCCCATTTAACTCTTCTAGGTGGTAAATAAGCTTTATAAAAGCTGTTTTTTACTCTGCAAGTGCAAAACTCTTATCATGGACTCTTGGCACGGCAATAGGCAAGGTCTAAGAGCACTAATTCCCACCTGTGTGAGCTGTATGGATGATCACAAAGGAAGGATCTTCTCAGGGCAAAACCATGTCAAGGAGGCATTACACTGTGTTTAAGAGTGGCTGGAGTGTAGAGTAAAAAGAAAATGCAGTCATCTGTGAGCCACCTCTCCCAGATGTTGCAGAGGAAATTTCCATCTGAAGTCATATTTTATGACAGTCATTGATCCATGGAATAAAACATTTTGCAAAAGGCTGGAAAAATAAACAAAGTCATATTATCTTCGAAGAAAATAAAAGGCATCGCATGCTAAGTGTGGTCATGCTGCCAGTTTTTTTTCTCACTGGAAATGAAAACAGTCTCTGAGAGCTAATCTGTTTACAAGCTTATATTCTCTGTAGATACAGGCCAGTGTCAAGGCATAGTAGAAGTAAAGCTGAAAGGGCAGTTCCTAAAACCTTTGTCTATTTACATTGAATATTCAAAAGCTTTGTCCAAATTTGACTAAATGAAAAGAATTTTTACTTTCAAAGTGTCTTGCTATCACCTAAGGTCTAAAGATCTAAAAAGAAAAACAATGATTTGGCTTTTTTTTCCTGAATACAGTGTCTTTTTTAACTGACTACTTGAGAAAAATTAACATTTGCCAGAAACAAAAATAAGCAGATTAAAAAATTAGTCTGTGTTTTCTGAACCTAGCATTTTAGTTGTGAAAAAAGATGAATTGGAATTTTCCTTTGAAGCTGTTGGGTAGAGCTTGATGATGGCACAGGAAGATTCCTGTCTCTCCTGCAGCAGTGACTACATTAAAAAAACATCTGCACGTTATAGATACCATTTCTGATACTGATATCTCGTCCAAGCTCAAACAGCAG